GGGTGGATGTTAAACATCGCAGGGCACTGGGCGAAAAGGGAAGGGAGTCTCTCTCTCTCTCCCGGTGTCCTGGACAACAATCCCCCTAATAAAATTGGTCACTCGCTCCTTGGCTGTTTATGGGAAATTGCTGTGCGCAAATTGGCTGCCACTGTACAAATCCACTGTATGTATAGCCTGTGAAGCACTTTGGGACATTCTCCTGACGTGAAAGGCGCTGTACTAAATATAAGGATTATTATTATTAGTTATTATTATTTATTACTATTATCTTCCCTATTCCTCTTGACAGTGAGAAACGTGAAATGAACCCAATGCAGTAATAATAATAATAATAATAACAACACTATCTCCTGTACTCTGCTCAGTGGGATTGGAACACACACTCACTACCCACTGATCAGTGTCCTCTCCTCAGTTGTAATTAATCATAATCATTATCGAGTTGACTCCCTGTAGGATAAGAGGTTTAGAGTTACGAAGGGGCAATTTCAGCACAGACACCAGGAAGTGTTTCTTTACCCAGAGGTTAATTAACGACTGGAAAGAGGATTGTCAGAAAGGGTGGTTGAGGCCAGGACACCGGGACTCATTTAAAAAGCAGCTGGACACTGGGATGAGGGGTTGGGTGTTCTGTTGAGAGGAGATCAGATGGGCCAAAGAGAGAGCGAGAGAAAGAAGAGTGAGTGTGTGCTCTCTGGTCCGGGCTGGTGCCTGGCGGCTTGCTGGTTGGTGGAGCTGTTATCTCTGTGGAACACCAGTGCGGTGGCGGGAGCTGGAGGCTGGGGACCTGCCGACGTTTATCACGGACACGGTTATCAGCCGAGTGCAGCCACTGGAGCCAAACAGAGGGATAAACCAACCACCGCAGCCCCGGGGGAGGAGCTGAGCTAATTCTCCTCGTTCCTCCGGCACGTAGGCAGCAGAACGTTGCTGGTGTATGCTCTGTGCCAAGGCTGAGAAGAGGTAGTTGGCCCATCCCACACACACGCACGCACACACACGCACGCACACAGAACAGGCAGATGGAACCTTGGTTTATCCGAAGGACGGAGCTTCCAACAATGCCGTGTTCCCCCCCAGCACTGCCTTGGAGCGTCAGCATAGACTATGTGATTCCAAATCCTGACGTGGGACTTGAAACCACAACCTTCGAAGGCCTCAGAGGAGAGAGAGAGAGAGAGAGAGAGCGCGCGCACCAGACTGACACACGAGATGATCAGTTTAAGATTTTAACAGGTGACAGGTTTCCGTGTTCATGGTTTTATTAATCGGATATTAGACATTACAGGGCAAAACTGTGCATAGCGTGAGACCAACGTGACAATTTAGTAAAAGACACACAGTTTACACACCTGATTCTCACCGTTTACACTCGGTTCATACATAGGTTTACACACAGTTTGCACAGAGCTTGCACACCGCCTGCACATGATAGCCCCAACGCTAGTGAAACCCTGCGTCTGTATAAGTGTCCGTGTGTGTAAGTGTGCGCGTGTGTTGGTGTGTGTGTTAGTGTGTGTGTGTGTGTATGTTAGTGTGCGTGTGTGTGTGGGGCGGGGGTGGTCTCTCTCACAGGGATTTCCAGTGCCGTGCCCTGGGGTGGTCCGGAGGTGGCTGGAGTGTGTTGGGGTTGGTCAGGCGAACCCGGAAGCTCAGGTGCTTGGCAATGTAGATGGCGCAGGCGGAGAGACAGAGAGTGAGGAGAGCGGCCACGGAGAGCAAGACGTCTACCCTGATGAAGTGCTGACACTGGACGGACCACCAGCCCCGGCAGCTGGACTGCTCCTCCGTGACCCGTGACACTCGCTTGCCCTTGGCGGAGGCCGGGGACGAGCAGCGGATCTTTCGCTCCATCCGGAGTTCCTGCCCCCTCAGCCACTGCCTGAGATAAGCGATCTGGCAGTCACACACCCAGGGGTTATTGGACAGCTCCACCCTGCGCAGATCCCTCGGCTTGTCAAAGGTGCCCGGGGCCACGGCTGTCAGCCTGTTGGACTGCAGGTAAAGCTCGCTGGTGTTCTCGGGCAGGGCGGGCACCTCCCTCAGCCCCAGCCGGCTACAGTCAACCTTCAACCCCCCGGGGCTCAGTGGCGTGCAGTGGCAGGGATCCGGGCAGGGCACCCCGCCCACCGGCAGGGTTAATAGCAAGATCAGCGGCGCTCCAATGCAGGCCAACATGGCGTGTGTGCTGTAGGGGAGGATCGGGGATAACGTGGGTTTAAAGGGAGGCAGTGGAACCAGCTCACAGCCATTCGGCCATCTTTACTCATTGAACTGACTGTCCATGCCCCCCGCCCTCCTATCCCCGACTCCCCATACTGCAGCTGTCTACTGTAACCCCATCCCCTGCCCTCTGCTGCATTTTGCCCTGCGCGGCCATGAGTGAATGACCCCAATTTATCTGGAGAAACTTCCTTCTGTCTTCCAACAGCACCGCAGGAGTTTGACGTCTGCCTGAGCAAACACCGGTCGGGGAGCTCGGTGTAACGTCTCAGGGCGGCACCCTTAGCAAACGAAGGCCCCCCCCCCCCCCAGCGTCTTAACTTGTCTGTGAGCTCAAGAGTTCCTGATGCTACAGCTCGAACCAATGACCTCCTAACCCTGGAGCGACCAAGCCAAAAAATGTCTAATCCTGTTCGTAACCGCTCACCCCAAAATGCTTTCTTTTGCCCTGAAACGTGTCACGTGAGGTACAGGCAAGAGTAAACCGTCTGGATAGTTTATCCGTGTCTCTCTGGCTCTTACCTTGCTATGCTGACCCACGCCATTGCTCTCAGCCCCAACAATGGAGTCAAGCCTCCGAATCGAGATCGGCTTTATATATTTGGACGTGGGAGCATCTCGTGTTCTCCCGCTGTCAAACAGAAGGGAAACGAGCTACAAATACTCCCTTATCATTCCCCAAATGCCATTGGTATGATAGGGTTTCCTGTTATTTTCGTGGCTCTTTTTTATCTTCAACCCTCAAGTCTCCTCATCATTTCCCTCCAACCAATGCTCCTCCCTGTTCTCGTGAAGGACTGACTGATTGACGCAGCCCTGGGCTATCTCACCACAGGTTCATTCTGGTGCCTCGGATTCTAGACAGACAGCAATTCATTCAACTTGGTGGTGGGGGTGGACAAGAGGACTTTAGCTGAGACCCCTTTGCCCTGCCTTGCCCCAACCTAGTCCAACTTCTTCAATCGCACCTCCTGAATCCTTTCCAGTCTCTGCAGGTGCTTAGAAGTGGGAATCCTGACCCAGTTTCCACTGCTGTGGGCTGGGGTTTTGGAAGGATGAGATCAGATGGGCCAAAGGACCTTCTTCATCCAAACCTGTGGTGTGTCGGGAACACAGGTGATCTGCAATACAGCTGCGTGGCCATTAGATGTCACTGTTGACACACACACACAGAGCAGGGACACAGTTGGACACTTCACTGAGAGAAAAGACTTGGATTTGAACCAAAATATAATAATAATCCTGGTATGTGATACAGCGCCTTATCACGGCTTCGAGACGTCCCAAAGCACTTCACAGGGTACACTGTAAAGTGAATTGACTGTGTATATTGTGGGCGAAACGCGGCAGCCGATTGCACACAGCAGCGCCCCCACAAACAGCTGTGAATTGCGTGACCACTTTTTTTAAAATTTTTCTTTTTTCTGTTGGAAAGGTACTCTTTCAACTCCTTTGGTAACACGCGAGAAAAAAACAACAACTTTCCTGTGTGCAGATGAATAACTTGGCTGCATGCGGGACCTTGCTGTGAGCAAAACGGCCACCGGGTTTGGAATTGATGGCAATTAGCTGTGAAGCACTTTGAGACTTTATGACGCTACAGGTGCGATGGTAAGGATGATTCTTATTATTACTACTACAGCACTGCATTATTACAAGTCTAATTATTATACACTCCTGGCCTAGCTTGTCTGAACGGTTAAAAAAAAGGAAATATTTTGCAGAATCCGTAACATTGACATCCTCGCCAAGTGAAAGGCGCCGTAACAATGTGATCACTGCCTTTGGTAAAGAAAATCCTTCATCAAAATGGTTACTCATTGGACGCTGGTCGCCTCATGCTTCTCATCTTATGTGCGTGTGTGTTTTTCAAGACCCTCCTCTTCGACCACGCCTTTGGTCACCCTCCTACCCTAACCTTCCCTGCTCTCCACCTCTCCTGATCCCAACCTTCTGCTCGGGTCCAAATCCCTGACTGTCCAGGGCCTTGGATGTCCTCCCGATGTGAAAGGCGCCATGAAATGCCATTTGTTGTTGTTGTTGTTGTGTGATTTACCCCAAAGCTTCCATCCATTCACATTTCTCTTTGTCCTTCCTCCCTGTTGTGCCCTCGATGTGCGTGTGTGTATGTCACTGGCAGACAACCCTGACTCACTCACGACCGCAGATGAACTCAAACTGCTGCTGGTAGGGTGGTTTGCTGTGTGGTGTCCTGTAGAGGAGTGGTTACCGCTCTCACCTCGCAAGCGAGAGGAGGTACTGGGGAGGTAAGGGGAAAAAGGGGGAAAAATGGGATTAACACATCTGCCGGGATCTACAAAAATGGAACAAGCGGAACGACACGCTGGGGAACGAGAGGCAAAAGCACTGGGACTCCTCCTGGGCTGGTTTACCTACGATTCCACAAAAAAAAATCTGCTACAAATGGTGCTGGAGTCAGTGAGCTCAGGGGCCTCTGGTTATATCTAACTCAGCTCCAACAGCTTCCTAATAGTTATTGTCGTGGTCGGTTACTAATCGCGGTGGATGGATTATGTCTAAGTGCTCCGAGATGCTGCCCCATGTGGAGGGCGCTATATAAATGCAAGTTGTTGTTGTTGGTGGCGTTGGCGTTAAGCAAACAGCAGTGATAAAGGCAGCGGCTGTTCCACGGGGAGCGAATGGTTAATTCTGGCCGGGGTGGGTGAAGGTGGAGGGGGGGGGTCGTGCCCCAGAGTGGGTGGAAATTGCAAAGCTTCAGAAGCGATTAGACAACACATTCGATAACCGTGGCAATCTGTGGCAAGACATTTATCCTCTCCCCCCCCCTCACCCTCCTGTTCCCCCCTCCCTGCCCTGGGGGAGATGTGGCCCAGGGCGCTCGTCAGCATGAGATGAGCAGAGTGTTTGCCAGCGACCGGTGTCCCTGAGTCTTGTCCAGTGGCCGATCAGACAACAGCTCACAGGCAGCCAGTTCCTGGTACAGCGTGTTCAACACCTCCAGGATGTGAGCCTTTCCTGTGGGAGGGAGAGAGAGAGAGAGAGAGAGAGAGAGAGATGGAGAAAGAGGAAGAAAAAAAAGAGAAAGAGGGAGACGGAGAGGGAGAAGGCGAGCAAAAAAGAGAGAGGTAGAGGGAGGGAAAGAAAGGGAGAGAGAGAAAAATAATTTTCACATCAGTTGTCACAATCCATCCGGCCTGTCCTTGCTGGAATGGCTTGGCCTGAGGAGCACATTGTGCAATGGGAAAGGAATCTTAACAACACGGCACACTGGGACCAGAGCCCCGGGCCACACTGGACACCAAGTTGCCAGCACTTCTCCCAGATATTTCTTCCCGTCTCATTATTCCTCTCCTCCTCCTCCTCCTCCTCCTGCTGAGGCCACCAGATTCCACCTAGTCTTAGCCCTCAAGGTCACTTTGTCTGAAAGTTTAAGGTGGCGCAGACCTGTGTAAAGCCATCGCCGTGTAAACGGGGAAACCCATCACCGTTCATAAGAGTCTCCAAACCAAACTGAGATTTGCAGACATCCCACCGACACGTGGAAATCCCAGAGATAGACTGTTGGAATGGAATGTGCACTCTCTCTCTCTCTCTCTCACTGGAGGGATGAACACTGCTTACCTAATTCTGGAGAGTGTTAGGCACAGGTTGGCAAGAGCCAAGACTTGGGGGGGGAGCCCAGAGTGTGCGTTGGGGTAAATGCTGGAGTCTAACCAGCTAAACCCACATGGCGTGGCCATTGATAGCGCCGTCTGGCCAGCTTTCCTGCTGCTTGTCCAGCTAGGCCCACCCTACCAGTTAGGGCTTTGGCTTGTGGGGTTACCGAGAGCTGAATGGGAGGATTCCCTGCCCCCGGCGACTGGTAAGGTTTGCGGACTCACCGTGCTGGGGGTCACTGCACGACTCCAAAGTGTTGAGCAGGATTTTTCCCAGCGACCGTCTAGAGAAATTCTAGGCAAAGTGAATAAACATTGTGTTGGTTATTATAGGGTTTAAAAAAAAGGAACGTTTTCAAATCGAGTTCAAAGGCGTTGTCCTTTGGATGAGATGTTAAAACGAGGTCCCGCCTGTGCCCTGCTCTAACTAACTATTCGGAAAGAGAAAGCAATTTGTCTCTCGTGGTGTCCCCCAGATAGAATCTCTCGCTCACCTCAAAAGCGGTTACTGTGCACAAATTGGCTGATCCGTTCACCTACAAGCACTTGGTCATGCACTTTACAGTAAAATCAGTGAAGCACCTTGAGACATCCTCCCGATGTGACGGACGCTACATAATCATACAATAACAATAATCCTTGCATTTGGTACTGTGCCTTATCATGTCGTTGAGACGTCTTAATGCGCTTCACAGAATATAAAGTGCTTTGACTGTATATTTTGTGGGCGAAAGTGCCCCCACAAACAGTCGTGGATTGAAGTGACCAAATTATTATCGTTTTTCGAAGGGCTTATTACCCTCGGAAAGTGATCCGCCAATCAACTGACAACCGGGTTCCTACTTACTCCTGGGTAAACGGAGGAGTGTGTGTGGAGTATGGAAACCTGCCTAAGGGTTCCCCTGGCCGGGAATCGACCCCGGGTCCTCTCACTTGTGAGGTGAGTGCTCTAATCACTACCTATGGGACTCCTTTTTACAGCGCTTTGAAATATCCTCCCAGCGCTATATGAAATATGAGAAGGATGATTATTATTATATTAGCGCGTTCTCGCAGTGACTCACGAGGTGACGGAGCTGCTGGAGGAGCAGTAAGACGTCCAGCAGTTTCTCCTCAATCAGCGACAGCCGCACTCTCTCCGTCTCCAACATCTGGAGCTCCGTCTGCAGCTGCTCACTCTCCACTACCTTCCTCTGCAGCTCACACACCAGCGACCCCTTCAGCTTCCCACCGGCAGCAGCACAACAAAGGCAAACACACATCATACACACAAACAGAGAGACAGCCCATCGTGTCTGTGCTGGTGCTCGCTTCCCCCCACTGGAGCTCTCTACTCTAACCCCATTCCCTGCTCTCTCTCTCCCCATCGTGTCTGTGTTGGGGCTCGCTCCCCCACTGGAGCTCTCTAATCCCATTTAGCTAACTATTTAAGTTACAGAAACTCACCACTAAAATGACCCACATATTTCATGTTAATCTCTTGACAATTATAGTCTAACAGTGATGGCTCTTGGACAAGTTCCTGTGAGTTCCTGGGAAGGGGGTGGGGTAGAGATTTGCTCGGCTTGGTTTAGCTCAGCCCACCTGTTCCATGTCTGTGGCCATTTGGCTGGCCTGCGTCTCCCTCCACTCCAACTGTTGCGTTAGCCGTGCCACCTTCTCCACCAGTTCCAAGATGGCAACGCTGCTCTCCTCACTCTGCCCACTCCCAAACTGCCACAGCAGCTTCCTCACAGTCTGATCATCACAGCTGCCGACAGACAAACAAACAACATCTCACGTTCGGAGCTGGCCAGTCAACTGGTGACAAGCTCAGTCTCTCCCGCACGCACGCTGTTTGACGCTCAGTCACTCGACAGCGATCAGACTGGACAGTGAGTGGACATCGCTAACAGCACAGGGTTCAATAACTATTTAGAAACCGCAGTCCGCTCTGCAGCTGTTGCAAGAGAGGAACTTTTCAACAGGTTGCAGGATCGTAGCATCTTACAGCTCAGAAGGAGGTAACTCGGCCCATTCGGGCACTGGCCTGGGTCTCAGAGCGAGCTGTCCCAATCAGTCCCACTGCCCCGTCCTGTCCCCACCCCTCCCTCAAGCCTCTATCATATCCCTGTCCCCTGTCAGGAGATCAGGTTGACGTTCAGCTCCGGGTTGGGTGGGTGGGGTGGGGGTGGATTGTCAGAGGCGCCATCTTTGGGATGAGACGTTGAACCGAGATCCTGTTTGTGCTTTGCTGTTCGTGCGGACCTTAAAGGCCGTGTGACACTACTTGGAAAGAGAAGGGAGATTCTCGGTGCCGGAGTCCTGGCTGTTTGTGGGACGTCGCAATGCGCGAACGGACTGAAGCGCTCGAGTACAAACGCACAGTCACTACATGTGTCGGTAGTTACCTGTGAAGCACTTTGAGGGGTATTTATTAGGACTATAATGGGGGGGAAAAGGGCTGTATTATCGGTCGCTCACCCGTTACCGCAGCAACACAGCCGGGCCAGCACCTTCTTGACCTCGGCCACCCTGCTCTGCTGATCTTCCGTCCATTTCTCATCCTCCTCGTCTGAGGCTGCCTGGCCCTCCACAGAGCGTAGTAACTGTTCGTCATCTGCCCAAGACCAGCACAGACAGCATAGCAAGGGTTAACCCACAGCAACAACAACAACAACAAGAAATTACATTTGATACGCCGCCTTTTCACATCCTCCAGACGTCTCAAAGCGCTTCACAGAATATACTGTAAAGTCTAGTGACTGTGCATTTTGTGGGAGAAACTCGGCAGCCGATTGCACACGGCAGTGTCCCCACAAACCGCCAGGGATTGAGTGACCACATTTTTTCTTGGGGGTGAAGGAGAGACTTTGAGATGTTTTAATGAGTCAAGTGTAAGGATTAGGAGTGAGATTGGGATGAGACAGGGAGCGGTGGGGGGGGGGGGGGTGGGGGGGTGTTGGGGAGAGAAGTTGTGAAGTGCCTGAGCTGTAGGTTTGCTGGAGGGACGGTCGGGAGGCTCAGGGTTCTGGAAGGAAGAGGTCAAACGTGTTGCGTGTTTGCGGGTTGCGTGTGCTTACCGCTGTACACGGGTATCTCTGTCTGACCCGTTGGCGAGCCTCGCTCCTGGGGCTCAGGTGAGCAGTGCACCTGCCTGACCTCCGACCCTGGCCCCGCCCTGACCTCGGGGGTAATTGGCTGCAGGAACTGGAGTTTGATGACCTCTGATCTGAAAGAGTAAAGTCACAGGTGAAGGATGAACAGGTGAAATTCCACCTGGTCTCGGCCTTGAGCCCATCGCATGTCTGACTGACGTTGGGCAGAACAGCGGAGAATTCTCCAATTGATCTTTAAAAAAAAATCCCTGGTTTCCTCACGACACCGTGCGATATTACCGACTCCCAGACAATCCGGTGAAGCATTTTGAGATGTCTCCGATGCGAAAGGAGTTTAAGTGTAAACTTGTTGCCCAGTAATACAACAGTGAAACAGGTAACAGGCGCTGTACCGCTCACCGCTGAGCCCACACTGTGAATATTTTGAATATTGTGTCCATCTTTGGGTTAAGCCATAGCATTGCTGCCTCAGAGTCAGTGTACCGGCAGTGAGTGGGGAGGGGGAGTGGGGATAGAGGGAGGTGAGTGTCGTGACAATGATCAAAGGCTTGAAATTCCTCCCGGTGCTAACCTGTCAGACCATTTTGTCTTAATATTTCAGACGGGGCAGATTTGTGGAAAATTCGCTCTTAATTCAGAGTCTGTGTGTGTGTTTTTTTTTGCTTTGATGAGCTGATATATCTTAAGACATGAAGAATAGTGCCTGGGGCTGAGGGAGGGTGGGGGTGAGTGTGTGGATGATCGGTGTGTGTGTGTGTGCGCGTGTATGTGTGATGTGTATGCATGTGAGTGTGTGTGTGTGTGTGTGTGTGTGTGACGTGAGTGTGTGTGTGTGATGGTGGGGGGTGAGGGGGCGGTGTGGGTCGAGGGCACACAAGCCAGGCTGCAGCATTTAGATGCTAACTGAGGGGTCTCCATAGTGAGAGACAAACTATCCGGTCTGTGAGCTTGTGCTTTTGTGCGGCTGAAATAAGCCGGTCTGACCCCTGATGAGACAAGGTCATGGGGGTGGGGGGGTGGCGGGGTGGGGGAGAGAGAGAAAGAATTAGAGTGATGAGGAGACAATCCCACAGATTACCACTGACCGAGTGAGAACTGTGACTTCAGAGCAATTCCTCTTAATAAAATTTGAATTTAACTTTGAGAGGAATTAACAGGAATGTGGTGCGTGGAACATTTCTCTCTTTCTTTCGTTATCGTGTCCCGTGACTGATGGAGTGGGGTGGGGGGTGGTGTGGGGGGGGGGGGGGCGAGGGATAAGAATCATTTCCCAAGTGGACTGGCACATTTACCGGTTTGGCGGAGTTTTGTGGTTCATTCAGTTTTGTGCGCAATTGGCTGCCGCGTTTTGCCCGCACAATACAGTCACTACACTTTACAGTTTATCCTGTGAAGCGCTTTGAGACGTCTCAACAATGTGATAAGGGGCTATATCAAATGGAAGGATTATTCTTATTATAAACATGTGGTTACAGTTCCGCAGAGTCTGAGCCGGCCAGACGTAAAGCTTTTCATTGTTATCCAGTCAGCGTCGGAGGCATTTGCTATCTGGTCTCAGCCGTCAATCTCACTGGTGAAACGTCTTGGCACGCAGTGAGCTAGTTTTGGGCATTCTCCTGACGCGGGGTGAAAAGGGCTGAATTCCCGCCTTTCCCTGACGAGCCCCCAGCCTGGCGGAGACGGGGTCAGCCCTTAGCCATCTGCGCGGATTCAGGAGGAAAAGAAAAGAGAAGAAAAGCAGCCTGTGGGCTTACACACACACAGACACACACAGTCATGGAGAACAGCCAGCTCCAGCTAGACAGAAATAAAAGGGCAGATTTGCAATTTAGAATCTCTTTGATAGCATTACTATGGCGTGCTACCTTTGATATATCGTCGTGTGAGACCCTGTATGTGGTAGACCCCTGTGTGAGAAGGATCCTGGTTTGATTCCTGGGCAGGGAGAAACCTTAGACAAGTTTCCTTTACTCCACACGCCTCAGTTCACCCGGCAGTAAGTAGGAAACCGGTTGTTAGTCGATTGGCAGATCGCTTTCCGGGGGTAATAATCCCTTCAAAAAAAAATTTGTTGACTCAATCCACGACTGTTAGTGTGACACTGCTGTGCGCAATTGGTTGCCGCGATTCACCCACAAAATACAGTCACTACACTTTACAGTATATTTTTTGAATCACTTTAAGACGTCTCAATACACACACACATACACACACACAGCAACTATTAGCAGCCTCCTCGCAGATGGCAATCCCATCCACCGCTGTTAACGGCCCCTATTGTTTCATTCCCAGACCCCAGGTTCCCATCACTCAATCTGACGGTTTGATTTAAGCCCCCCCACCCCCCCCGTTACCCTGGGTCAAGGTGCAGGGGGAGGGAGGGGGAGGTTAGGCAGTGGGAGCGAGCGAAAGGATGAAAAGATATGTCAGTGTCCTTTGGGTTTAACAAAGCAAACAGTCCTTTTCTCTCTGATACAACCCCCACCCGAAAACTCACAACCCTGACCCCACTTACCTCTCCACCCTCCGGCCCCCTCCCCCGAGCTCTGCAGGGAAGTGGCCGGGACCCGGGTCAGGAGCCAGGTGGAGATTCCCACCCACTCCCGTCGCTCTATTTCTCCTCGAAAAAATTAGCAACAACGCAGTTATACAGCGCTCCTCACACATGGTAGTGGCCCAGAGCACTTGATTAACCAGGATTTCAGAGCTACCCATCGCCCCATTCTCACAATCTGGGGATATAGGAACAGGAGGAAGCCATTCAGCCTCTTGAGCCCGTTCCGCCATTCTATTAGATCATGGCTGATCTCCACCCCCACCCACCCCCCCCAATCCGTTCTCTATCACCTTCGTGCACAGCGCGCGCTCATAAGTCATGTCGAAAGGCAGATGAAAGTCTCCCTGGTAACACTGGGATGGATGTAACTGTTTGGCAAAGCATTTGTTTTTGCCTGAGATTGTGTTTCCATCTGTGCTGCAGACAGTGGGGATGGCGGCTTATGATCAGTCTCAGTAACAGACAGAATCTGCCACTAAACTCTTTTAACATGTCAAATTAGAGACTATAAAGGCCCCTGGGCACAGCCTATACCTCACACCTTGGCAACCACAGGGTCGGGCTCAGTACTGTACTGTCTCACAGTCCCAAACCACTGATTCAATCAGAGACAATAGCACTAAAACAGACCATCGTGTCTGTGCTGGTGCTCGCTCCCCCACTAGAGCTCTCTACCCTAACCCCATTCCCTGCTGTCTCCTCATCGTGTCTGTGCTGGTGCTCGCTCCCCCACTAGAGCTCTCTACCCTAACCCCATTCCCTGCTGTCTCCTCATCGTGTCTGTGCTGGTGCTCGCTCCCCCACTGGAGCTCACTGTCCCACTAGGAGGCATGTTCACTAAGAGTTTTAATGTTTTTTAAGCGTTCCTCTCTCTCTCCCACCCCCCCCCCACCCGTATCGTTCCTTCCCCTTGCCTGCCCAATGGCTCATTAAATTCATTAGCCCGAAATCGTTGATATTCTTTGAATTCCTGCCACATGATCACATCATTAAAATCACATATTCGCTGTGAGATGTTCAAAGTCAGACAGCAGCAAATGATCCTTCATCCTTCCCTTCCCCCAACTCTGCACTCTGGGGTGGGAGTGAGTGGAAAGATTTCCACGAAAGATGGATCTGTGCGGTATTGGTAGATGTCCGCGTGCCACATGCCCTCTACCATTGGCCTCTGCCCCAAATCTGCCCTCCATCCCGCCCTGCTCCCCTTGTCCTGTTGCTTAGTGGGTAGATCACTTGCCTCACAAGCGAGAGGACCTGGGTTTGATTCCTGGGCAGCGAAACCTTCGGTAAGTCTCCTTACTCTACACGCCTCTGTTTAGCCAGCAGTAAGAATCTGCTTGTTAGTAGATTGGCGGATCGCTTTCCGATCCAATAATAATCCCTCCCCCCAAAAAAAGTTTTAAAAATTTGATCGCTCAATCCACGACTGTTTGTGGATCACTGCCGTGCACAATTGGCTGCCATGTTTCGGCCATCAAATACAGAATCACTACATTTTACAGTATATTCTGTGAAGCACTTTTAGACGTTTCAACGACGTGATAGGACACTACATCAAATTCAATGATTATTATTATTATTATTATTAATATTGGGGCTTGACCTTGTCCTTTGCTACCATCCCCCTGAACTGTGCAATAACATTGCTCCTTGTTACAGCCCCCAACCCCCATCCCCTTTCCATTGAGAGTCTGACACGGAGACAGTGTGAGAAGGGCACACATACCCCCTGGGAGAGGATCCACTCAGTCTCAGATAATCCACTCTCTGCCGGGCTTTCCCCATTCTGTAACTGATGTCAACTAACAGCCAGACGGGTGCTGAGCGCTGCCCAGCATATTGGAGCATCAAAGACCGCCCAACTCGGGGAAATGCCAGGAATCCTTTGCTCTGTCAATCAATCACAAGACCCGAGAGAGGGGAGAGAGGGGGAGGGATTGACATTGGGTGGAAGAGCTGGGCAGCAAAGCTGGTCTGTCAATCACTTGAGGCTGTCCTGACAACCTCCCTCAATAAGGAAGGGTTAGAGAATCACATGGCATAGAGGAGGCCATGCAGCCCATCTTGCCTGTGCCAGCTTTCTGAGAAAGCTCTCCAGTCAGTTGCGCTCCCTTCTCTCCCATCCCTCTCTCCCCCCACCTCGGCCGCTCTGCTACAGAGCTGTTCTCACCCTCTCTCCTCGTTGATAACAGGAACATGTGGTGTGCTGACAGCCTCTCTTCACCCAGGTTGAAAAACTGGTTAGTGTGAATTGGACACCCAAGAGTTGTAAAGATGGGGGCAGAACTGACTGCAGACTGGATCTATCCAGGTCAGCATCAAGGACAATATCCCAGGAAACGTTAGTAACTGGGCAAGCAATGCAAACCAAGGGAAAAAAAACCAAACTCAACACTTTTACTCTAACCCCATTCCCTGCTCTCTCTCCCCATCGTGTCTGTACTGGTGCTCGCTCCCCCACTGGAGCTCTCTTCTCTCATATCCTATACCCCTGCTCTTTCTCTTTCATAGCTGTGCTGATGCTCACTCCCCCACTAGAACCCAGTTGGCAAGGAA